TTACGTGGCCCATTCTGTCTCTTGGGCTAATACTTACTTTCCTTGTGTCTTTGGTGTTCTTCGTTGTCCTTTACTCCAAGTGGTTGGGACCAATTGATGCATCTTAGATGGCTGCTTGCAAGCTTTTAAGACCCCAGACGCCACTCACCAAAGTAGGATGCAGAACATTTTCTTAATAAGCTTTGTTATGCCAATTGACGTAGATGTCTGACTTCAGGGGATATTTTTGGTTTAAGGTTTAAAGATTATCTCAGGGTAATATTTTCAGGGATTCATCCACCCTCTATGGCTCTAGAAAGTCTAGAGTCCATGAGAATATTAAATTCTGTCTTACATTTTCCCCCTTTTGATCAGCATCCTTCTATGGAATGTTTGATTGAAATGTTTAGTAATGGTAGCTGGGCACCATCCAGTACTTCTGGTCTCATGGCAAAGGAGGCAGTTGTTCATAGAGGCAGTTAGCCACATATTCCATATCCTCCTCCTCTTTCTGACTCTCCTTCCTCTGTTGCTCCAGGTTAGTAGAGACCAGTTGTGCCTTAGGTGGCTGCTTGAATGCTTTTAAGACCCCAGGCACTACACAGTGAAGTAGGAGGCAGAACAGAAGCATTAAACACATTATTAGGCCAGTTAACTGGTATGTCCCCTTAAACCATGACTCTAAACCTCCAAACCAAAGAACCAAATCCCATGAGGTGTTTGGTTGTACATAGGCAGTTTCAGCAGCTACTCTTTTTTTTTTTAGTTGTTGTCATAAATATATCTAACACATGACTTTTTACCAATTCAACTTTTAAAGATGTACAACTTATTGACAGCAATTACAGTAATCAGCTGTGCAACCCTATCCTTGATAAATGTGATTTTTCCATCACCGTTAATTTTCCCTTTCCCCCTCCCTCCTGCCCCTGCTAACAACTAATAAACTTTGGTCTCTATACATTTGCGTTTTCTTGTCTTTTTGTGTAAGTGAGGTTATACAGTATTTGTCCTTTTGTGATTGGCTTATTTCGTTCAGCATAATGTCCTTTGTAATCTTTCTGCTGAGTGGTTCAGATAAGTTATGTGTATTCTGCTAAAATTGTAATTTCTTTTATAGAATACTGTTTTAGTTATCTAGTGCTGCTATAACAGTAATACCACAAGTGGATGGCTTTAACAAAGACAGATTTATTCTCTCACAGTCTAGGAGGCTAGAAGTCCGTAATCAGGGTGCCAGCTCCAGGGGAAGGCTCTCTCTCTGTCAGCTCTAGGGGAAGGTCCTTGTCATCAATCTTCCCTTGGTCTAGGAGCTTCTCAGTGTGGGAACCCCGTGTCCAAAGGATGCACTCTGCTCCTGACACTGCTTTCTTAGTGGTATGAAGTCCCCCTGTCTTTCTGCTCCCTTCTCTCTTTTATGTCTCAAAAGAGATTGACTTAAGACACAACCTAATCTTGTAGATTGAATATTACTTCATTAACATAATTGCTGCTAATTCCACCTCATCAACATCATAGAGATAGAATTTACAACACACAGGAAAAGCCCATCAGATGACAGAATTGGAGACAATAACACAGTACTGGGAATCATGGCCTAGCTAAGTTGACAGACTTTTTTTGAGGACACAGTTCAATCCATGACAAATAGTAAGTATTTTAAGTGTTTTTAACTTTGTAAATGTGAGCTTTTGGTTGGAACTTAAGGAAAAAATTCATGGTAGTTTTTTATGCTACTGGGTGGTATTATGAGCTGTACTTTTGAAATAGGAAAATAGGAGCATATAAAAAATGAACGTATACACGTATGTTTTTCCTGTTTCCATCTTCAAGTCATGGAGAGCTTAGTTTACTTTGCTTACTTAGCTAAAGGAACTGTGGCACATGGCATAAACATAGCACCTTGTACTTGATGTAGATACTGTGTTTTTCTCTAATTGAACTGAATCTTGGGAAAGTGGTGGAAAAATGATTCGACTCCCAATAGCAATGTTTTGACCTTTTTTGGGGGAAAATATTAATACAATGTAATTGTTAGTACTTCTTAATGTACTAACTTAATGTACTCCTTAGGTAAAGACATTTTTTAAAATTTTTATTGTGTTTTAGGTGAAAGTTTATAGAGCAAATTAATTTCTTACACAAATTAATTTATACACAAATTATGTCATAACATTGGTTGCAGTCCCCGCATTGTGTCAGCAGTTTCCCCCTTTCCCTTTCCTCCCTGGGTTCCCTGGTTCCATTTGTGCAGTTTTCCTACCCCTTTCCACCTTCTCATCGTTGTTTTTGGGCAGGTGTTGCCCATTTGGTCTCATATACTTGATTGATCTAAGAAGCATGTTCCTTGAGTGTGTTATTGTTTTACATAGGCCTGCTTAATCTTTGACTGAAAAGTGAACTTCAGGAGCTGCTTCAATTCTGAGTTGGAAGGGTGTCCGGGGGCCGTAGTCTTGGGGGTTCCCCCAGTCTCTCTCAGACTGGTAAGTCTAGTCTTTTTTGTGAATTTAATCTTTTATTCTACATTTTTATGTCCCTCTGTCTGGGACCCTCTGTTGTAATCCCAGTCAGAGTGGTCAATAGTGGTAGCTGGAAACCATCTAGTTCTTCTGGTCTCAGGGTTGCGTAGGCTGTGGTTCATGTGGTCCATTAGCTCTTTGGACTAATTGCTCCCTTGAGTCTTTAGTTTTTTTTCCCTTCTCCTTTGCTCCAGACTAGAAGAGACTGATAGCTGTATCTTAGGTGGCCACTCGCAAGCTTTTAAGACCCCACGTGCTACTCACGAAAGTAGGATGTAGAACTGTGTTGTGCCAATTGACATAGATGTCCCCTGCGTCTATGGTTCTTTGCGTTCAAGCCTGAGAATTTCATCTGGTGAGGTATTTAGTTATACCTAAGAGGTTTCCCTAATTGTGCCACTTATGTGCTCCGTTGTCTGTATTAACATATGAGGAGCACCTACAATCATGTATTTAGAAATTTCCACCACCAAACCTGTATGTACTGATGGGTGTGCTCCCTTATCCCCTCCCTCACCTCTTAGCATAATCATCTATCCGTTTATCTATTCGTAGATTATTGTTTGTTAATACTATTGTTGCAGGATTGTCTGTGCTGTAGTAGTTACCATTTAAAAAAAAAAAAACTCATTGCTGTGGAGTCGATTCTGACTCATAGTCCTTTATTCCTGCGTTCCTCTCAGTGTCCTCTCTTAAAACTTGGTCATGTTGTGCTGACTTCTCCCGTATTGTGTATTGCCTTTCCTTTCAACAATATTAGCACGTCTTGATCTCTTTGGTAATTTTCTCCCTCCTCCTCCCATTGTTAGTAACCATCAAACAAGTTTTGTTTTTTCCTATGTGTAAACCTTTTGTTATTACTTTATAATAGCCATCTCATACAATATTTGTCCTTTTGTGATTGACTTCTTTCACTCAGCATAATGCCCTCCAGATTCATCCGTGTTGTGAGATGTTTGGTGGGTTCGTCATTATTCTTTATCATTGTGTAGTATTCCATTGTGTGTATTTACCACAGTTTGTTAACCTGTTCATCTGTTGATAGGCACTTGTTTCCATCTTTTTGCTAATGTGAGTAATGCTGCAGTGAACATGGGTGTGATATGTATATTCGTGTCACAGCTCTAATTTCTTTAGGGTATATTCCTAGGAATGGGATTGCTGGATCATATGGTATTTCTATTTCTAGCTTTTTGAGGACGCGCCATATCATTTTCCATAGTAGGTGTACCATTTTACATTCCCACTAGTAGTGTATAAGAGTTCAGTCTTCCCACAACCTTGCCAACATTTGTTATTTTCTGTTTTTTAGATTCGTGCCAGTAACTTTGGGGTGAGATGGTATCTCGTTCTAGTTTTGGTCTGCATCTCTCTAATTGCTAATGATCCTGACCATTTCTTCATATGTTTGTTAGCAGCCTGAATGTCTTCTTTGGTGAAATGTTAGGTAAAGACTGAGAGATCTTCGATTTAGGGATGCTTTCAGTACATTATAATCCTGCTTATCAAGAGGTCAAGTTTCTGTAAATCTCTCT